CAGGTGTAATTTTAAGCCCTGCTTGGAAATACATGTAGGTGAAGTAATTTTAGTCTGTTTAAGGAGGCAAAAGTCAGTCCTGACTATTTTAGTTTTAGTAGAGTTTTTATGGCGGCCGCAACTGCATAAAGTCATATGAGCGCAAAGGGGTGGATGTCAACAGAGGAGTCCATACAGGGAATCAGGTTTACTCTGCTCACCTCTCTAGCGGCAACAAAACAAAGTCTGCTTCGACTAATAAAGCACCCCAGAAATAGTGGGTCACAAGAGTGTGACAAACATACAAAAGTAGAGGAAAATGACGATAGTAAGGATGAGGAAAGAAAAAGCAGCAGTTCCCTTCTTTTGCAGTTCAGGCACAGTTATGAGCATGACATTGATGAATCAGCCCATTTACAATTACAATTCTACTGTGCATAAGAACCGGTTAATATCCCCCCTTAGTGGATGGCCTAAAGACAACTTCTGTCAATAGTACAGCCCTGGAGGGTAAGTCCTGGCTATAAAAAGGTAGACAAAAAGGAATGGCATAAAGTACAGTCTAGCATGAGCATAACAAAATTGGAGGAATCTTTTCAAGATGTACGAATTTTGCTACTTACATATTTTATACAAAGATATCTTATGAAAGAAAAAGCTATGGGAGCTGAAAACCAATTTTCTATATAAAAAACACAATAAAATAATGTGCAGACCCAATTTATAAAAGATGTATAACATTCCCCTCCCTGTCCCCCTCCCAAACTTCACTATCCCCCCTCTCTCTCTCTCCCTCTCTCTCTCTCTCTCTCTCTCTTTCTCTCTCTGTCTGTCTGTCTGCCTCTCTCTTTTATATGTCATGGCATGGTCTGATTAAGAAGTTACACACATTTGCTCATTTGCTGGAAAATGGTGGTAAAATAATAAGTAGGCCGACATAAGACATAAGAGGGACCATTCACAAATGACATCAGCTCATGATGAGGGGGGGAGGGTGAAGTTGACAAAAGTTGACATGGGGGG